TTTACAAAGATTCATCATGCTTAAACTTTTTAAAACTACTAAGATTTTCAATTTTAAATATCACATGTTAAATTATGTGCAAAGTGAGTTTGAAATATTTAGATAAGGGGTCGTCCATAAATTACGTCACACTTTGGGGGGGGGGGGGGGTTGGTAGCTTTGTTACGACTCATACGGAACTTGTTACTAAAGTGTTACGATGTTGTGACAAGGGAGGAAGGAGGGGTCTAAAATGGTTAAAAATTGCGTGACGTAATTTGTAGACGACCCCTAAGAGGTAAAGAAACTTGTGATAATTGAACCACAAGAATGTTTTATATTTTTTGAGAAATTGCTGTCAGACATAAAAAATTAGTTATTTTATCTTTTTACTTTGGTGCTTTAAGTCTTTTCACCTAAATTTGATATTTATAAACTATAAAAATCAACACATATTTAAATCGGTATAATAGTTTAAGATGGAATTTTCTAAAAGAAAATTCATATCTTTTTAAAAAACTATATGTCAATCATTTTTGGCACAAATATCTTGTGATTTTTGAAAAAAAAAAAATTTAATTATAAAGTTCAATTTTGAAATTTTGTGAAAGTCTAAATAATGCTAATCAAAACTCAAAACTCTCATTATTTTGCAGCAAAAATAAATACAAATAAATAAATAGTGCTCAAAGATCTAAAAATTGTCAAGATTTCAAAAAATTTAAGCAATTTTTCTTTAGCTGTTAATCGAACTTTTAAGAATCCCATACTCTAAATAGTATATACTTGATATTTTTTATACCCTTTCAATAAATTAAAAGGTTATAACTTTAAAAAACAAACATAACTTAGGAGGTTTTTCTTTAAGTTGCGTGTACATACTTTTATATTTAACTACCTTACACCCCATGCATTTAAATACACTGTTTTCAGAATCGCCCTCCCCTTTTTAGTGCACAATCCTTATTGACTACCCCTAAAACAATAATTTGTTAATCTTTGCTGATTTAAAACCAAACTTAATGTTATCATTTAAAATGTAAATGCAAGCAGTTTTGACTAATGGCTGAACCCTTGCGTGATAATGAAAGCGAAATAAAGGTTTTCCTTGGAATGACTATTGCAATCATAATGGTTAGTCTGCCAGAGGTACATGACTATTGGCGTCAAGATGGAAATTCAATATGTCTTGTTTTGCTACAATAATGAGCCGGGATCAGCTTTGCCAAATTTTGCAGTATCTTCATCTTGTTGATAACAACGCACTTCAAATCAGAGTTGTTAACAAGGTCAAAAGTAGCAAGGCCAAGGCCAAGTCCACATGTTACAAGGCCAAGAACAAGGCCAAAAGTTACAAAGCCAAGGCTTACGCAAACATTTTTAAGACCAAAGACTTAAATTTTTGCCTCACGTTAAGCTCAGTTATTAACAAAACTGTAGGTAACAATTGCTTTGACAATAAAACTACAAAAACTGTTTTGAAATTTTTCATACAAAAAGTTATATATAGAATGTTATTTACTTATATTGACTCTTTTTTTTAGTTTTATAATTTTTTTTTTTTTTTTTTTTATTTTACTTCACCTCCTCAAGGCCGAGAAGGCCACTACAGACAAGGAGGCTACTTATTTTGTGGCTATAACCCTCTCTCAACTCTATAACTCCAAAACACGAACCTTGACGAACAAGGCTGCTGCGCGGAGAAATGAGTTGAGCGCGGTACTACCAGGGACGTGGTGGGAATCGAACTCGGAACCACTCGTTTATGAAGCGAGCGCTCTACCACTACACCACTACCGCAATTAGTTTATATTGGTTTATAATTTCTGATATCTAACACTTTTAGGCGTTTGAGCACTCTATTTGTATTAATTGTTCTTGCAGAATGCACTTCTGATAGTTTTAAGTCTTGATTAGCATTTCTTTTAACTTTAAATTGTTCCAAAGTCTGATTTTTGTTTAAAATTAAATTTTTTTCTCAAAGTCACATGATATTTATGTCCCCCATCATTGATAATTTAATTTTTTTTAAAGATATATAATGTCTATCTATTAATCTTTCAAAAAATTTATAGTTTTTGGGTGCAAATATGATGCCTTATTTATCATAAAACTCTATTTTTTGGTATTATATTGAGTTTGATTTTTTAATGAATTTCTGAAAAATGTGGTCCTGGCTAATTTGTTGATATTTTTGATATCTTAAAGATTTTTTAGGGTTTGACCACTCTATTTGCATTTATTTTCCTTACTGAATGCACCTCTACTAGTTTTAAGTCTTGTTTAGTATTTTTTAAACTTTTACAAAGCAATTTTACAAAGTCAGACTTTTAAATATCTAAAATAAAATTTAAAAAAATTGCAAAAGTTATGTGATCTTTGTGTCCGCCATCATTGGTATTTTTTTTTTTCTCAAAGAAACATAGTATCTATTTATTTATCTTTCAGAAAATATATAGTTATGGGCAGGCTTGGTCGGGAAGCGGGTGCGATCGCACTCGATAACTGACCACGGAAATAATATTTAATTGCGAAAAATCGGCCAGATTTTTTAGCCGTTTTGAGAACATTTAAACTTATATATGTTTCCTTAAGTTCATTATTTTATCGTCAAATTTAAAATATTTTGTTTTACAGACATACATGGAAACATGCATAAACTCGAATGTTCTCAAACATCTTAGTGCGGAAAATAAAAAAAGAATATTTGCGAACACAAAAAACCCGCCGAACCTAATTCTATTGGTTCAAAAAATACTAACCGAGTATTCCGTTGAAATATCTTAAATAATTGTATTATTTGAATTTTGATATGTTTTCGTTGAGATTTCTATCATAAATTGTTTCAAGAATATACTATCAAACGAACTATTATTTTAATTCTCGGAGCCACATCTACAAAGCTATAAATGTTTAAAACTAACATTATTTGTTTACAAAAATAAATGTTTTAAATTTAACTTTTTTAACTTGTCAACGTTTTCTAAATATATTATAGGTTTTATTAGTATATTCTTATTTTTATATAATGGATGTATTTTTTATGTATGTAATGTATTTTTTATGTAATGTATTTTTATGAAATTATGAATAATCATCAAAGTTAATACAAATAATTTTAACCACTTATCAATTTTCCTCAGTGCACACGATAACTGATTCTTTCCCCCAAGAAAGAAAAGTTTTAGAAATTGGTTTACTAACTTCAATTATTTTTGCTTCAGCCATTTTTACAAACTCGTTATACTTAAACTTAAAGTTACTTTTTTCTTAAAATTATAAAACCCACTCATTAAACATCTTCAGCGTTATTACGAAGCAGTTCCGCTTCATCCTCACATAGTAATTTAACGTTTTTATTTAATTTCAATTTAGCTAATTGAATTTCTACAGTAACTCAATGATTTTATTATTTTATTTGTTTATCTTACTAAGAAAAATTGTTTCAAATGTGTTAAACTTTTTTAAACTACGTGAAGCATAAAACAGTTATCGAAAAAACTTTTTTATTTATAAATAAATCATCTAGCGTTAGTTTTATTGGTTGAATCTTGTTGGACTTTTCAGGGCCGGGGACTGCATTATTTTGGCGGCCTTTTTTATGTGCCACAGCGTAAAAATGATTTAAAAAAATACCGAATGGACCTCTTGACTATTTCGCGGCCCCCAACATTGGGAGTCTCGAGGCTATAGCCCTTCTACTTCCGCCCCCCCCCCTATCTCCTCAATCCAGCACTGGAAATAAGACACAAATATATAAACAAAAATTATATATACTCTTTGATAAATCGAAGAACATTTGTTTCCTGATTAAACAATCATTAATAGTAAGTTGTTGCTTTATACAAAAAATGTCACTTAATTTTATAAAAAAAAGAACGACGTTTCAAAAATATTTGCTTTAATCGTGTTTATTTTGCTTAAATTTTTTTCGCCTTTTTTTTTAACTCTTTTTTGAAGTCTCTCATCAGTCCAGTTAATCTTATTGCGCTTTTTTGTTTGTTTTGGAAATGTTCTCAAAACGACTTAAAAATCTGGCCAGCTTTTCGCAACTAAATATTATTTCCGTGGTCAATTATCGAGTGCGATCGCACCCGCTTCCCGACCAAGCCTGAGTTATGGGGTGTAAATATGTTACCTTTTATCCCTATTATATCATTTTCAGTGTAGCATGTTTATTTTTAATAATTACAATTATTAAATTTAGGTGCAAAAGAGTGAATGTGCTATTAAGTTTAAACTTTTGATTTAATAATTTAAAGAGAATACTTAATGAATTTAAACATGCTTTTGTATGACTCTAATTATAAATTTGTTGGTATATTTCATAATAAATGATAAAAATGTGATATAAATCCACAAGGTCTCATTAAACAGGATGTGAGTTTATTAAACATGGTTCAAAAATTATCTTAAGATGCCTTAAAAAATTATAAAATACCTACAAAGTTTGTAATGTAGTACCACAAAGCTGGTTTAACGCCATGATGTTGACTAAAGGTTTGGGCTTGGGCAGGTGCTATCTAGACATAAGGGACATTTATTATAGCAAGTAAAGTTTTTATTTTTTTCATTATTCCTTTTTTTTCTTTGTTTGGAAAAGTGCTTGAGTTTAAGTCATTTTAGATTTCTAGTTATGCAACATTGTGACAGTGCACACCTAAACCCGCTTAAGTAATTTACTGTGTGTCTTTTACTTTTAAATTTTGAAGTTTCTCTTAAAAAGGTGATGAAATTAGAAATAATTTTTTACTGTCAACACTTAAATTATTAATAGTAAGCACAAAGTTGTATAAAAATTTCAACATAATCAAGTAAAAGTACACTTTTTTGCAATACTAGCAAATAGTAGTGGTGAATTAACCTTATCCTCTTTTAACATCATTTCAACAAGATTATGTTTTACTGTAATATAAATGTTGAACAATAATTTTTATAAGTTAATTTTTTGATAGTCTATTTCCCTTCACCTTGAAATTTTTATTTCACATTCCTGGTTTTATTTATTGGATTACTTTTAGGTATTCCTATTTCCCAGCAGCATCTTGTTTGGCATGCTGAAGAGTTAGAAGATGAATTTTGTCTTTTTGATTACAAGTATATATCCAGTTTTGTATTCATTTTTTCTTGTTTACATTATTTACTGAGTACTTTAGCTTTTAAATCTTTCAATAAACAGTATTTCAAGTGGTTCAAGTCTGCAGTTAGTACTTGCAATGAGGGGAGGGCCTATAAATATGCGCAAATGTAAGTTGCATCTTATATCTTAATTACAAAAGCAATTCGAAAGAAATTCTTTATTTACAATACTGAAAAAAAAGTTTTTTTTGTTTTAGTGTCTGTTGAAGAACCGTTTGTTAAAGAAATTGAAGAAGTTATAGAGAGCAAGAAGTATGTTTTGTTAGTAAAATTAAACTGGTGTCAAATAACAGGTGATTTTACAATGATGTTTTATTTAGAGATGAAGTATGGAATCAAATAATGAAAGATGATAATCAGTTCACACTTGTTGTTTTCAGGTTTTAAAGTTGTGCTTTATGCAAAATATAATTTTTTTGTTGACAAATTGATTCTAAATATCGTATTAAATGTTGCACTAAATTATTATCATTATTCGTAATGTTACTTTTCGGTATTTTGTAATTTTTTTTTAGAGATGGAGAAAAGTTAAATTTTTTCAGAGTTTATGATTATTCAGATGGTAGCAACCCTTCACATAGTGAATCTTTAAGGTATTTACTTTTTTTGCAGATTCATTGAATACATGTGAAGACAAAAAAAATAGTGTATACTAAAATTAAGAGAATTGTTTTTAGTTTTATTTCAAGCTTTTTTAGGATGGTAAAAAAAACATGTTTTTTTTTAAATTATATGCTAATTGGCAGTTTTATACACCTGTGCATTCTTATTTGGAAACACATTGCAGTTTTGATGGAGAATTGCTTAAAAGTATGACAAATCTAAATTTTTGTTGTGAACTTTTATGCATCTAAAAAGATACATTGCTCAAGATTTTTGAATAAAATCAAGAAATTGAGATTGAAATTGACTATTTTATGAATCAGAGAGTAAAATTGTCAGTTTTATGAAATGAAGAGTTTTAGTTAGATTGAAATTTTTATCAGCAAGTTGTTGGTTTGACAAATGTTCTAACTTGTTTTTTTTATATTAGGAAAATAGCAAGTAAATTTTCTTTTTTTTAATGTCTAAATAAAAATATTTACGATTATTTTTTATTTATTTATATATTTTTATATATCAACCAAAAAAAGAATACATAAACAAATAAAAAAAGCAATAATATAGATAATTTTAATTAAACATAAAAAAAATGATTATTTTCTTAATTCTCCTAATATAATAAATTTCAGTTAGAACCTTGTTAAACCAATGCAACGAATTTTCGTCATCATATAAATTTTTTTTTTAAGAATTTTTTTTTTTTTTGTAAATGCAATCACCCTGAGTACCCTAAAATAAAATGATGTGTGGGTCATGAGTGATTTTAGGCATGATTTTTTTTTATTTTCACTAACAGCCGTTTCTAGGTTCAAATCTGTAATCAGTCAAAATGCTTTTTACTTGGTATACAAATTTTTTAAAACAAAGAAAAAAGTATTTATCAGAAGTTGTAGTTAAAATTATACAAAATTTAAAATAAAAAAAATGTTACAATAAAAATTTGATATAATCTTCGTTAAGCTCAAGCTCTTTAATACACCCCAAACTCCTTCTTAGAGGAGTAATAAACTGCACAATAATTTTCACATGACATCATCTTTAGTAAATTTCTATGAAAATTCTCATGTTTTGAGATTTTGATCTAACCCAAGTACTTCAGCAAACACTTTATAGCAGGGTTAAAAAAAAAAAAAAATCACTGGTTTTTTGAAAAAGTTCCTTTTTTAAAAAAAAAAGGCTAAATTTGTTTAAATTTTCATTTTAATATAAGCAATGTGTGTTTTTACTTGAGCAAATTATCTTCCTTAATCGTGGCAAAATCGGTTTCAGTGTTAAACAGTTGCTTTACTTAATAGCATTGTGATAAATACAATTGATTGTAAAATGATTAGTCAACGTCATTGTTTATATTAATTATTAATTAATCAATGTCATTGTTATAATTATTTATAATATTATATAAGATTAATCAATTTTATTGTTTATGTCATGTATTGCATGAGGATTTTCTTTAATAATAACATGCAATTTTTGATGTTTTTTTGCTATATTTATACTTATTTATTGTTCTCAGTCTTTTTATATATCTCCTTATATAAAGATGATTAAATGGGATGATATTTTGATTCCCATTTAATCAATAGAGCTAAATATTCTCATGATAACCTGATGTAGAGTTTGCACAAATTATTTCTTTTAATTATTATAATATTTTATTATTATACACTTTTTTATGGTTTATTCTTAAATACTGTTCTATTTTAGTTTATCAAAATTTGTTTATCAAAATATCAATCCTAGTTCATCAATATTTGTCAATACATATTTTTTACCATTCTATAAAGAAAAAAATGTTGCTGAAAATTATCGTTTTTTAACTATTCTTTTAGCTTCGTTTTTCCTTGCTTGCCACTTGTCTAATTCAATTTTATAACTTATATGAAGGCATCATTCCATGCATGGATTACATACTTTGTAATCCATGTTACATGCATGGATTACAAAGTATGTAATCCATGCATGTAACATGCCCAATCCAATCTCTATTAAAACTGTATTTGAAATTGAAATAAAAAAAACAACAACTGGATTATTATATTTAAAGGGGTCATCCCACAAATACTATATATAATACATTGAGTCCTATATAAAGGGAAATTACAGTAACCATTTTTCCATCAATCAACGCACAACGTTCTAAATTATGTTTGATAATATAGTAGTTAAAGACTTTTTAAGTTACTGTTTTTAAAGTAGTTAGTTTCTTGTTTTAAAACCTCTTCACTTTTTTTTACATATTGAAATTGCACTGGATGAAAATAAAGTGTAGAAGATGGTTTTTATTTGTCTAAAGTGAATCGCCAGATTCTTCAATATAACAACTGATCACTTAAGCCATCAAGTTTTACATTGTGTAAAAGCTGAATAACACTGGTCAACAATAAATTTGCACCAGCTTTAGTTTTAGGCTTACTAAATGTAGTTTTTCATGTTGATTCCAAATCTGTGTTTAGTTTTTCTCCAGCACATCTGAATCTTGAGATAATGTATGTGTGTTTTTTGCACTAATATATAGTTTCAGTGTGAAATATACTAATGTTTTTTTATTTATAGGGTAATTATTTCAATAAAATTAACTTATATATGCCTAGAAAATGCAAAAATTCACCAGACGCCTTTTGCTATATTTATGGGCAATTGACATTGTCAGGGCAGCGAAAGAAAATCACTCCAGAAATCTTGAAATTTTACAAGCTGTATTTTGGTTGTCCTTTGGGAGATCAAGATAAAACTTGGGCACCACATGTGGCTTGTTATAGTTGTTGCAGCTTATTACGAGATTCGATCAACAAACAAAGGTCTTCTTTTTGATTTGCTATACCAATGATTTGGATATTTATAGGATAGTTGTGCTGTGAATGAACATTACGTAAAATGTGATTGGGTGTTGAGAACTGAAAACCCAGTGTAAACAGCGTTCATCATATTCTGCTGGTTGATCCAGACAAAATATTTTTGCCATCGCTTCACATCAAGCTTGGTTTGATGAAAAACTTTGTAAAAGCATTAGGTAAAATTGAATCAGCAGGTTTTCAATACTTGGTTGAAAAATTTCCCAAAATTAGTACAGTGAAACTCAAAGAAGGCGTTTTTCGAGAGGTTTTGAAAGACCATGGATTTGAAGAGTCACTTACTTCCGACGAAAATGAAGGGTGGAATGCATTTGTATAGGTGTGTAAGAACTTCTTGGGGAATCACAAATCATGTGAATATGAAAATGTAGTCAAAAGTTACTCAATTCGTTCCAAAATGTGGGCTTTCGTGTGTCATTGAAAATGCATTTTCTGCATTCGCATTTGGCATTTTTTCCTGAAAATTTGGACGCTGTGAGTGATGAACAAGGTGAACGATTCCACCAAGATATTCAAGTGATGGAAAAGCGTTACCTAGGATTCTGGAATGAAAGCATGTTAACTGACTGCTGTTGGATGCTTTATCATAATGAACCAGAAAAAATCTATAAAAGGATATTCACAGAGATTTTAAGTGATTTATATGCTTTAGTCAACAGTCTTTAAACTATTAAATGTGTATAAATGTTTACGAATAAACCTAGTCACAGAGACTTATTTGTATAGAAACATAAGTGGTTTATGTATGGGGATAAAGTACAGAATGTCCAAAAATTAAAATTTCAAATATCTCATGAACTAGACGTGCTGGAAGAAAACTGAAAGCAGATTTGAAATCAGCGCAAAAACTGGTTTAGAAAAGGCTATTTAGATTCATGGTGCATTCAAAAAAATTATTTTTGTTGACTAGTGTAATTAGTAGTTTGTATTCCGCAGTGTGATACTCCACAATATGGTATATTTAAGATATTTGCATTATAGAAATTATTGTATGTTAGCATCACTAAACCTTTTTTCCTCTTTTAATATCAAAGTAATTCAGTAAAATATTGCATGTTTAAATTTATATAAATATTTTTTTTTATAATTATATAAATATATTTATTTAAATATTTGCTAAAACATAATTAATTAGTACAAGATAAAAAGTCTCTTTAACATCACAAGTTTATTAGTCATATTATTAATTTTTAAAAAATATCAATGATAATAAAAACTAGGCAAAGTCATGGCTAGGTTTTAGACTTTGTCCAGTTTATCTGTTTCAAAGTATCCATTGCTTGTTGTAGTTCTTTTTCTAAACAGGTTTTGTAAATCAACTCAAATCTATTCTTGTGTCTGTTTACTTTATTTCATTTTTTGTTAAATTGTTTAGAAAAGAATTTGAACAACAGAGATCTCTGCGGCTTTATAAGCATCATGATCAATAACTGATTTAATGAAGTTGTTTTCCAAAGTGCAAAATTATTTTAATCTTTTTTTTTAAATTTTTTTCATCATGATTTATTTTCATCATGATCAGAAGAAAGTTTCAATTAAAATTACTTTAAATTCTTGTAAAGTTTTTAATTTAGTATTCATATTATAAATAATTAAAAACATAATTTATAATTTACTGAAATAAGTTATAAATAGGAAAACGTTATTACTTTAAAAAGTGGAATAGCAGAAATGGTATTTCATGTGCTACCAAATTTCCACTTTATCATTTAAAAGAAATTCACAACTAATGTTTTTTGAAAAAATTACAAACAAGTCGTATATTTAAAACCTACAAAACTTAAATCTGCGCAACTTTGTGCAAAATATTTCTAATAAAAAACAAAAAATCTCCAATATTGCTTAAATTTCTAAAATCTTAACCCTATATTGGAGAAAAATGAATACGAAAAAGATCTCAAACTTTTTATAGTATCTATTTATTACATTTTGTCATATTTTTTTTGTCACATTTAAATTTACAAAAAAAATCTTCAAAAAACATGCTTTTTTTGTTTAAGTTAAATAAACTAAAATAAACAGGTATGCTACTATCGAGACTATAAAATTTTCAATGAAAACTGTGCTAACTAAATGAATTCAATTTTATAATTTTTTTCTCTTTTTTTAAAAAAAGCTTTTTTTTAATGAACGAGCTTTAGAACCTTCCAATAACTAATTTTTTTTATTGTTGGGTATGTATACTTTTAAAAGTTTCAAAAATACTCATTTCTCTGGCTCAGGTGCTAAAATTAAAAAAATATTTAACCATTTGTATAGATTTATAATAAGAAAACATGCTGATGTGAACCTGTTTAATGATACTTTCATGGTTCAAACTAAATTGCTATTATAAAAAACAAGAAAATAAAAACATTTTTTCAGAATAGAAAAAAGCAGAAATTAGAATAAGCTGTTGCTTTTTTGTATCTAAATCTATATGTTGCGATTGTAATTACTCTTCACATTGAATTTGCTTTGAAAAATTACTTAATTTTTTCTCAACCATTTAATTTTTAGATGACTGCACTACCATTAAAAATTGCAAATCATGAAATGCAGTTTACCTCATATGGTAATTTGTAAGGTGTAAATTGTTATAGCTGTTTACAAAAACATTTTTTATTGCATTTAGCTCAATGTATATATACTGTAGGATTAACAAGTTGTTTTTATAAGTGAATTGAAAAGCCGGAAGTTTAATAAATTGTACTCGTTTTCTCTGACAAATGCCAAGACATTCATTACCTATAAGAATTGATTTCTTTAAATACAATATTTCAAAGTAAAGTGTAAAAATTAAAACTGGTAATTAGATGTGTATGTTATATTAAAAATATATATTGGAAAATTTTCCCAAACTCCCCATGATTCAATGCTCATAAGATTTATTGAATCTCAAATCTTTGCAGGAGATCAGAAATTATTTTGTTTTCTGAAACCTTTAAAATCTTGTTTTAATCATTTAATTTTTTTTTTCTACATTTTAAATTTTAGCACTACATCTCTATGTAATGTGGATGAAGATGAAAGAGATGATACTTCAACTTCCATGGTGCCTTTGTTTTATTAATATATAATCTGTATTTAACTTTATTATGTGATCTTAATAATGATCATGTGTTTTTAAAATTGCGTAAAAGTGTATATTTTAATAAAAGCTGTTTTTAAAACAATTATTGATTTTTTTCTGAAACCAAATGATTCACTTAAGCAGATGAGGTTGTCCTACTTTTAAAAATATATATCTTTAAAGCTAATCTAACAAGTTGTTCTGCACCAAATCAACATGGTCATTTCCATATTTTGTAAAATTTTCTTTGAACTCCCAATAGGTATATATGTAGAATTTTTTCTTATGTCAGAAATGAAAAAATTTGTTTTTAAAAAAAATAAACTTTTATTATTCATTTCTTACTATTAAGATAAAGTTTTTTTTACTATGTATACTGATTTACATTGGCCCTGAGGCAAGCGATATACTTTAATGTTGGGGAAGTCTATATTTATGCAAAATTTTACTTTTAATAATAAATACAAATCCATTTCACATTATATTCCTGGCGCTTTTTGTGATGCATTTTTAAACAAATTAAAATGTTGAAAACATTATAACAAAATTTTTAAAATTTCTTGTTAGGCTAAACATGTTGAAAATGTAATAACAAAAGACAAAATGCAAACTCTTCGCAAAAAGATTGAGTTATGTAAAAATAGTGTAAGATTTTAATTCTTTTTAAAATAAATATTAGTATTTATAAAGATAATATTCCATCATCATGTTATTTTTTGAGATTTTACTTAATATTTTTTTCATCAAAACAATGCTTAAACTTTTGGTTCGGGTTTATTTTTAAATCAGAGTTTATTTATGACAATAATTTGAAACTTTAACTATCATGCTAATAGTAGTTGAATGTTATTTTTCAGAAAATATCACATGAACCACCAGTTAACCTAAGGTACTCTCCGTTTGCATATATATACATATGTATATATATACATTTATTAGTCTAAACGGAGAGTACCTTAAGTTAATAAATATATATACATATGTATATATATTTATTAACCTAAGGTACTCTCCGTTTACATATATATACATATTTATATATATTTATTTATATATATACATATGTATACATATGTATATATATATATATGTATATATATATATGTATATATATATATATATATATATATATATATATATATATATATATATATATATATATATATATATATATATATATACATATGTATGTATGTATATATATATATATATATATATATATATATATATATATATATATATATATATATATATATATATATATATATATATATATATATATATATATATATATATATATATATATATATATATATATATATATATGATTTCAAATCATCAAAATAAGTTTGTTACTTTTTTATATTTAGAGGTGATGGTTTTTCTAAGCATCAGTCATTTAACTTACAGACTTGTCATGTAATTCCTACAAAACAAGAAAAGTCAAATATCAATAATACATCCAGCAAGCTAAATTTTTCATCAGATAAATTATGCAATAGCATAACATCTTCTCTTATAAAGCACCAACCACTACCTCCTGTTATGAAGCACCAGCCATTACCTTCTGTTATGAAGCACCAACCACTACCCTCTGTTAAAACTAAAAGCAAACCTATGCTAAGTTGTGACACAACCTTTATTGATAAACGTAAAATTGATCATAGTAATGTAGATCTTCTAAAAAGCTGTAGCCATAAGACCCAGAGGAACTATAGTCATGGAAGAACATCAAGTGAAAATGAAAATTCTCTGCCATTTCATAAACAATATAGTAATTTGCCCAGTTTGAATGAAAAAATAAATTTACACAAAGATATTTCATGTGAGCGTTTTTCATCATCTGAATCTTCTAAACATGGTAATGTATTGAAGTCTTTAAGCGCTATGAATAAGACTGAAACCAGAGATTTTTTATATAGACCTAATAAGTCATCTCACAGTAGTATTACAACTCTAAATGATAATTTTTTTAAAGAAGATACAATTGATTTAGTAGATAATGAAAGCTATAAAGCCCTAGTGCAATGGATGCAACCTCAGTTAAAAGAAACAAAGAAACATTTACCTAGAGTACCTAATGCTGTTCAAAAAGTATAATTTTTTTGCTTATATTTTCTTTACAATAGAGAGCCAAATTTTTTCAGATATCAGACATAAATTAAACTGATCTTTTACTTTTTTTAAAACTGATAATTTTAAGCATTATAACCACATTCAGCTCATTAATAGCACAATTTTTATAGCATAAAAAAATACACAAATTTAACATAAAATTTATGTTATTAAAAGTAACAAATTATTATACACAGAATTTCATTAAAAGCTAATTTTTGTATATACCTTAAAGATAATGTATAAATCATATAGAGCTGTTATAAGAATATTCGGGTAGTCAAATGTCAGCAAATATGACTTATTTACAACAGTTAAAAGAGTGATAAATTATTAGCTCTATTAAATTACTTAAATTACTAGTGTTATTGTGTTATTTGATTTACATTTTGTGACATGTGCATATTCAACTAAAAATTTGTATATCAATGTAAATATTTTGATTAGGGATCTGATTTCCATAAAATAGAAATTTATTACATGAGATATCAAAATAACATCTGAAGTGAAAAATGCTAAAAATATATTAATAATATAAAAGTATAATTTTAAAATATCAGAATTTTTTTATGTACTTTTTTTTTTTGGTTCTATTTAGTTTTGTTTTTATACTTTTTTATTGGATTTTTTACTTTATATTTTATTTATTGTTTTAAAATTTGATAAAATTAGTTACTTTACTAAAACTTTTTAGCATACATCTAAAACTGAAGTTCTTGAAAAAGTTTCATGTCTTCCTTCAATAAATGATAATTTATGCACAACTCTTTCAACAAAAAAGAAAAGACTGAGGTGCATGGTTTGTTCAAAAAAGCTGGGCTTAGCAACTACTTATGAGTGTCGGTTAGTTTAATCCCAATTTTTCTTTTTTTCTTTTTTACATTGGTAAGGAAGATGATCTTACTGGTTAATTGCTCTTTTGCAGTGCGCTGTAATAAGACCGTTAGGTCTTCTCGGTGCACCTTACAAAAAAGTATTGTAAAGAATTCATTAAAATAGAAAGATTCTATTAAAATAAAAGAATCCTAAAACATTTATTAAAATATTTGTTGTAACACTAAATCTTTTTAAAACATCAGAGATCAGAGGGGAAACATTTTAACTCATTATTTATAAGGCATCAATTTTCTGTATATACATATTTACGAAAATGTCTGGTTAATTTAGTGTTTTTTATTTTGTTTTTTTGTAAACTAATTAGGTTTATCACTATCAAAAAAATCTTTTGATTATTAAAAACCTTATAAAGTTTATATTTACAATAAGTTTTTCAGATTGGTATTTGACATTTGATAATATTTTTTTTGTAAAATGAATAAATATTAGGTGTTTCAAAATTTTGTATGATGGAGTTCAATCAAAAAAATTTTATAACATAAAACAATATTAGAGAGTAAAACTTTATATTATATTGCAAGATTTTGTGAATTAGAATTTATAAGAATATACCCATAATGGGAATATGTGTTGACAATTAATTGTGCACCTATTCCTGGCATTTATTTGTTTTAGCAATAGAATAGGTTAGATAAAATGGTCTGCTTATTACAATACAGCAATTATATAAATTAAATAGCTACATTTAAAATTTTTAATTTAAAGTCAACAATTCTTTTTCAAATAGCTGTTTGAATCATTGTATTAGAGTAATTCAATTTTGATAATGGCTCACACAACTTTTAAATTACTATTTCAGAAACTGCAAAGGCCTTGAAGAATTAAATGCAAAAATACCTTGAAGAATTAAGTTATTAATGCAGTATATAAAAATAAAAATGAAAAATATATTTTGATTTTTCTTCACATGATTATCGGATAGGCAACTCTATGGTTAACTCTAGTCCGAAATTAAAGTTGGAGCTGATCCTAAATCCTAGCATTAAAAGTTAAAAAAGATTTTTTTAACTTTTAATGTTAACAAACTTTAAACTGACATAACTCTGTTTTTATTTGATTGTTACATATAGCTTGAAAAGACCCAATAAAAGAGAATAAAACTTACAATTTAAAACTATAATTATTATTTATGTTTTTTAGATCAAATTTAAATGTTAAATTAAAAATGTAAATAAGTATATATATTTTTTATTTACATCCAAACAATTGCTTACAAATATTTTTAAAGTTTAAAAGTATTATAGTTTTCTCATCAAATTTTCTCTGGTAATAACTTTAATAAAATAGAAAAAAATTAAGGAGATAAAAAGAACGTTTATGAAGAAAAAGTTAAAGAGAATAAAATTTATGAAGAGAATCTTTTAGTTTATATAGGTACAATTTCTTTATTTTAATCTACTAATATTTGACTATTTGACTATTATATATATTCAATAACTTTTACATTCTCATTAAACTGTATGCTTCTCAGTTTTTTTACCATTAGAAGGACTACTTTCAGATACACTGAACCTTCTTTTTTTTTAATTTATTTGCCCAAGGAAGCAGTGAGGGCACATTACAACCAAAGACTTGACACACTACAGTCAAAGAGTTGACTCACTACAGTCAAAGAGACTGCTTTATTTTTTTTGTTTTTGTTTAACCCTAAACTCTAAAAAATAAACTTTTAATCAGGTTGCTGTGCAAAGAAGCAGGTTAAGCGCATATTAATGTAATGACATATTGATGTTGAGCCTTTCTTCATCATATTATTTTATGATGTCAGTGATTTTGTAATCATAATATGGATTAAATGTCATTTCAATAAAGCTCTCAATCAATACAAGTAAAATAAATAATCTTGTTAAGATCATAAATTATGTTATTAATATTGTATATTGATAAATATGTTAATAATTTACCTGCTTTAAATTTTTTTTTATGCATTAATACACTCATGGCACTCCAGTGGTGGTACAAGTATCATATATTCTAATGACCTTAGAATTTTCTGACAATTCTTCAGCATTGTAGCCAGGCTACAGTGTAACAATTTTTTTTTTTCTAAAAACTTAGTTATGGCTTTATTTGAAAATATTACTCTTGATACCTGTGTGATAAGATATTCATAGTAATGCAGCTCTGACAGAGGTATAGCAACTAAGACCGCTCTCATCAAGAAGACATGGATTAATGATATTGAAAAAGTTCTGCACCTGTTTGTGTGGTTTTGCCTGCAATAACAAATTGTTGATACTGAGCTAAACTCCAAAAGATTCTAAGTTCTACTATTGTGTCTTTTGCACCAATACCAATGACATGTTTCCATCATGCACAGGTAATCCTAACGTGATATTAATATGATCTGATGCTAGGAATTATTTTTACTTATGCTGTTTGAGAAGGAGGATAATTTGGGATAAATTGTAGCTACTTTCTTTAACATGTTGGGCAATACCCAGTAATGCAACTTTGTTTATTACTTTTTCATTTCCTTAGTTAATCCTTAAGTTTTTTTGAATAAAAAAGGTTCATAACAATCTTAATTGACTCTTGGCCCTCTTCAATGCTGATTCTCACAGTTGCTTCTTGAAGAAAAATATCTCTCTATTTTGGTATTTCATTAAAACACTTAGGTTTATCTTTAACATATATACTACATTTTGTTGAACTTGGATATGGTTAGCTACTACTAAAATGATTTCTGCTGGATTTGGTAGAAGTCAGGGTTGCCACTCAACCTGGAAAACCTGGAATACCTGGAAATAGCATGAATCCCAGGGAAAACTCAAAAAAAACTTTTAAAATTGTAGTGGCAACCCTGAGAAGTGGTCTAGTGAGTACGTACTGAGTACCTTAGTGAGTATGGTCTAATGAGTACCTTAGGCTCTACATTACTCTCAAATCCTGATCAACCAACATTTTTTCTTCAGTCAACATGCTTTTAATTACATATTCAGAAAGATTTTGTTAAAAGATCATGTTTTTTTTTTTTTTTAACTAGAAAATAAAGTTAAACAACAAAATGGTTGCTCGAACAAGGAAATGGTTGACAGAAGACTTGAAAGGTTAAAGTTGTATGAGTCAGGAAAGCATAAAGAGAGAGTTTCTAAGGAAAAACAAATATATTTAATAAAAGTTTTTAGAACATGAAAAAAAGATACAGTAAATGGATGCAACATTACTGAATGATAAACCAAGAATGAGTTTTTGTTGATGGAATTAGATATATTAGCTATATTCAGCACCGACCAGGATAGTATTAGTAGAAAAGAGAAAGAGATGCAACCTTATGATGGCAGTAGAGCTGCTCAAGCTTAGGAGATAAAGCAGCTATGTTCACAACTATGTTTACAATGTGTTTTTGGACATTACTATAAGAGAAAGACATTAGAAGAACCAGCCCAAATATGGCCAGCAGTATTCTATACAGGAACAAACTTTGATTTTTAGAGGCTGAAAATAGAATCAGAAGTAAGATAATGGAAACCAACATTAAGAGAGGTAACCTTAGCAGATGCTAACTTTACAATGGATCGCACATATAGTTTCCATGAGAGGCCAGTAGTGAATGATAATCCAAGAAGAAGTAAAGAAGAGCATTAAGTGAGCAGGTTGCCATTCATTATTAGTAGAAATGTCAGCAATATTACGATAGTTGTTTGCAGTAAATAACTGAATTTTTTTTGGATTTAAAATTCACAAGCTACTGCAACTCCAAGCTGTTACAGAAAAGAGATCAGATTCAAAGTCGGTTGCCTGTTCTAAGGAATTGTAAAAATTTTTTTTCATCACCAGTAATTGTTAGAATCTTTGATGTTACCTGCTGAGACAATTTAAGATCTATTGACATAACAGTTTTCTCTATGTTTTTGCAATTGATTTTCTATTGCAGGAGTGTCTAATATATTTTTCTACATATTGAAAGGAATCTTCTTTCATTGGGGTATTAGTATTAGAGCTTGAAGTTGAACTGTTTTTATTTTCCTGTGGTAAGATTGAGAGAATGTAGTCCATTAAGTTTAGCTTTATATTACTTCTAGTATTATTTCCCAGGCTACAAATCAGACACTTATTAAAGTTGTGTCTGAATTACACATAATTCAGACACTACTTTAATTCTGTCAAGCATTGAAATAGTAAATCTTTACCTTGACCAAGTAATTGCATTTTTTACAGTTTTCCCCATCTGTAAAAAAATATATATATACTTTGCATTTAAGTAATTAATATTAGTTATACAAAAATTGAAAGATTTAAAATGGAGCATAAAAAAGATAAATACTTCTTTCTTGTAGATTTTAACCTTGCATTTTTGACACAGTCTAGTGCATTAAGAGTACACTTAAACATCAAAACCTCCATCTATACGTATATACATTGCTTATTCTTGTTACAACATCCAAAACAGGCTATTTTTTTGCACTCCAGGTTTCTTTACTAATTCGTTTTTATTTATTTCTGAAAATCTTATTTAATTTTTTTACAGATGAAGAAAACTGTAAAAAATGCAATTACTTGGTAATTATAAGTATTAAAATACATAAGCAATGAAATTTTTAAATATAATGAAGTATTCTTAAAAATAAATGCATTATTTTATATTTTTAGGCTATCTGTTGCAAAGTTATGGTGGTATAGAATAACCGACCAATAAAAAATAAAAAAATTCACAAAATTTTTTTTAGGAGTGGCCCCAATTTTAACTTTTAGCTAGAATTATCCTATTATTTCTAATTCTCTGAAGTAATAACCCAACTACTTTTAACCAGGGTGGTCTCTAGGGTTAATGGCGCCTGGGACAAATGTAGTTTTAATGCCCCCCACTCTACAGTAAAATTTATGTATATATGCTTTTTGTGCTGCCACTAATACTTTAATGCTACCACCTACCAATCTAACATAAAGATAAATATACATTCAAGAATAGTAATAGTTAAGTAAATCCACTAAGTTAATGAAATCAAATAGTTCAAACAATGTTTATCGCTATTTTTATTTTATACTTTATTTTATTATCAAAATGGGTAAACTTATAACGGTATACTCTGAGATTTTCGAAAGGAAAATTTTTCAATAATTTTTCCAAGGTTCAGTTTTTTCATCTCATTTTTAATGGAGAGTATCGCAAGCGACTGCAAATTTTTTTGCGTCATCAATCTATGTAGGTAGGTTTTAATTAACTTCAACTTGCTGAAACTTTGTTTACTGCTGACCACTGTCACTGGAATTGTCAGCAATATGCTTTTCTATTGGTGTTTTTGATTATATTGAGTGCTTCTAATGGTGATAGTTTTTTGTTGGCCGCCTTCTGCTTCTGCTCCCACCATTTGTCAAAAACAGTTCATTGAACAGTTTTTCGATGTTTATATCTGAAATGTTTTTCACAGCCAGGTGTTCTTGTAACCTTTAATAATCCTCCTTAAGTATGTCTTTTGGAGGTCGTTTTTTCAGTTTAAGTAGGAATCCCAACTTTAATTCATATTTGGAGAACTTGTTAAAATATTGTATAGATTCTTTGAATAACTCCAAACAGCAATATAGACTTCACCAATGATTTAGCTCCATCTGATGTAACTACGTTTGAGCCGTGGCAACCACAGGGTCGATATGAGGCTTCTAGGTATTTTGCTGAAATTCGAGCTTGAACCCTTTTTTGATTTTTTTTTTTTTTTTAATTTTTAGGTGCTTCAAGAAGTCCTTACAGTCTAATCACAGAGCACCGCAGACAAGCATTTAATTGGAAGTTCATGCTTCATTCCTAACCGATGTTGCAAAACTTGCCCAAAATTGGGATTTGAACCATGAATTCTTTGTTTCTGAGTCAAGTGCGCTACCACTGCACCACGGCTGCAATCATATTGCAATCATATTAGACCCGTTGTCATAACCTTGACTTCTAGAGTTGTTTAGGTCTAACCTACTAGACTTTAATTCTTTAATTAGAAGATTCTGAGTTACAACAGTCAACTCTTTACACACTTCATATGCAATACAATATTTTTGGACGATGACTATTGCTTCATTTTCTTCACAAACATAACAGATAATTAGAGAAGTTTGAGCTTTTTGACAAAGATCTGGAGTGCAATCCAGAATAACTAGAAAATGCTTCCCAAACTTTACCTTGTTCACAATAGCTTCTTTTACATGCAAAGCTAAGAGGTTAATGACTTTATTTTGAATATTGGCATTTAGCGTTTGTGAACGTCTTTCTTTTTTGCCGGACATGCTCCTTCCACGAAATGCAATATTACATTCGCCAAGTACGTAATAAATGATATTATTCTCTTAAGAATGTTTTTCCACCTTTCTGCTTCATTGTTAGTTTGTTGGATAAAACCTTTATCGACAGTGTGTTCATTCTTTATCCTATTTGTTGTCTCAATTCATTTCTCAAAATAACTGAAATGAGATGGAGACATCTCATGCATTTAGGCTTGCTCTGTGAACTTTTTCCAGTTGTTAAAATTTTCTATTTTACCAAAATATGATTTTGGAATTGGGTCAAACAGGTGATAAGGTAGACAATAAGCTGAATCAGTTTCTGGAGAGTAAATAAGCCATCTCTTCTTCACTTATTCACTTTTTCTTGCTACCTTGTATTCGTTTGAGAAACGGGATTTTTTAGTTTTAAGATCGTCTTTATTGCTCTTCAGGAAAGATATTGGATTCATTTTGATGATACAGTATCTTTTTCTTACAGCCAGTCGTTCCGGCCAAGTGGACGGGTCATTAGATAAGTATCTGCAAGTATCACTTCTGTGCAAAACATCTATTGTAACTGTGATACTATATATGTTTCAACTATTAAAGGCTTTAAATTAGAATCAGGCTTTTTGCTTTTCTTTGATTCTGAGATTTTTGGCCACAGATGTCCAAGGATAAAGTTGATGAACATGAGGCAAAACTAGCGGAAGAAGTTGAAATACCCATCAGAGGGTTACTCGCATTATCTTCCTCTTGGTTAGATTGTGACTGAGCAGAGGTCTCACAAGATGTTTTAAAGGAGTTGGAGAAAGAAAAGAATGTGTTTGCTCTGGTACTTTACTTAAAACAGCTTCATATGTTTCTTCGAAGTGCTTGGCTAGTTTTTGTCTATGAGCACCTGACAGGTTTTTTAACATCTTTAATAAAATAATATTGAAATTCGAATTAGCAGTATAAAACTTTATTTTTGTTTCTGGAAACATAAATTCTCCATGTAAGTTTTTAATTCATCTTTAAGGTCATTACTGATTACAGTTTGCAACTCTTTTTATTGCAACAATTTTATCAACTTACTTTCTTGTTGGTTTACTTATTTTATTGTCCGCGCAAAACAAACACGAGTTCAGCGTTAATAATCGAAATTTATTAAATAAAGTAGTTAAAACAAACGACGCAAAAAAAAAAAAGTTACGTTAGCGCATAGAAATATAAAACAGATAAAAGTTCAACCTCATTGAAATGCTTCGAGATTATGCTTGTAACCTTTTGTTTCGTAAGCAAAAAGAAAACGACATCAAGACTGTGCTTAAACGCTTAAGATTTATACTTTGACGCAAATAGGTACGTTTATAATAATTTAAAAACATAGTATTTTGAGGGTTCGTCAAGTATAACCATTAAAAATGGCGCAATTAAAAGGCTAACAAATTTTTTATAAACTTCATATTAAATGAATAGAGGATTACAAAAATAAGTGGAAATATGATATACAGCTATTGAAACTTTAAGCTTTAGTAATTTAGAAAACGTTTTTTTTTTTTTGATTTTTTAAAAGTTGTTTTGGTTGACTTTTTAATCAAATGTCGTGTTATGATTTGAAGCAAGAAGAGAAGCTTAAACTAACATATTCTTTTAAAATAAAATGTTTCAATTTAATTACCGAGTTTTAATAAACCTATTGTTGAATAGTTACAATTACTTATGGTTATAACTGTGTAGCGTATCCTTAGAATAATTCATTTTTTATTGTTTTAATAAAAATAGTTTCAGTGAATTTTGTTGTTTTTTGTTCAATGAAACTTGTTTTTTTTTTTTTATTGTCGATTACATGCATACTCCCGAGACGACTTGAAATTGCTTTGATATTTGCAGCTTGATGAACTTCCATCTGTTTTTTACTTCCATGGTTAGCGTGAATAAAAGAAATCGTTTTGCAAAAGAGTTTCGCAACCAAAATTTAGTTTAATGTAAATAAAAGAAATCGTTAAAAAATATTTTAAAAAAATTTTAAATCAAAATTTTTTAAATGGGCTAAAAAAGTAAATAAATTTATATAATTAAAAAGCAACATTTTTGAAATAGACTAAAAAGTAAAAAATATACTTTTTCTCGGTACCTAAGGACTTTGTGTACGAATACAACCTAAAATATTCATTAAAGATTTTACGTGGTAAAGATGAAGTTATGAAGACCGCTAAAAATGTTTTGTCGTGGCGAGGCGGCAAAACCTTTTTAGCCCCTAGACCGTGGCCCGGGGCAGTTTGCCCCGATTGTCCCTCCTAGCGATGGCCCTGCCTTTAACCTCCTTTTTTAGAACACTGAACACCATGCCACCCACTGTATGCAATCATTAGTTTTTAACAAACAGTTGAGTTTTAGAAAGAAAAGTCAATGTTTTTTAGTATCAATTTGTATCTTACGTAGTGTTTATATTTACTTTTTATAATCTAGGTGTTCTCAAAAATTTTGCTCTGTTCATCGATATCCAGAAACGCACACATGCTCCTTTGATTATAAATTGGACGGCCGAAAGTTGTTGGAAAAAAACAATCCAATCGTTGTTGCGCCTAAACTTCCAAAAATATAAATATTTTCCATTTTTCTTATTTTTGTACCATTATTATTTTTTAATGCATCGATATCTTTCTTTTCTATGTTTTTGTAAGCATTTAAACTTCTGGTTATAAATAGAATAATTCATTATTTTTTGGATTTTTGGTGCTGAAATTTTTTTATCTTTTTTTTTTTTTGTAAAATTTCTTTTTAGCTCGAATAATGCTTGTAAAGTATGTGTTATTTTTATAAAACAAATAAAAACTTATGAAACCTGCCAGTTACTTAAAAAACTTAGGCAGTATGGCTAAATCGTTGTTATGTAAAAAAAAATCAAAACTATGATATTAATTTTAGTACAAACAATAACCTTATTAATCAAATTTGTTATTAATTATATTCGTTTGAAAAGATTGTTTTCGGCAAAAAAAAAGCTATTGTTACGTGACGAGCTAAAACCCCAAAGTAAGCCATCTTATTACAGTTTAAAGGCGATGAAAAAAAAAATATTTTTTTTACGGAAATCATAACAATAAGATAAAAATAAATATTTAGAATTTAAAAAAAACAAAATAGTAGAAAGAAACAAATTTCTGCCTAATTTAATGTATTTTGGTTAATGGCCTTTCAAAACAAAAGAACTCAAATTTCATTGCCAATGAGCTTAGAGTTTTTTTTATTTGAAATTTGCTTTGATTTCTCTAGTGAGCAATCAAGTTTGCGTTAAACTGGACAAAACAAAAATTCATATACTTTATGTTTTCTGATCTTAATATAATAATATTTGTCAAATAATCGTCTTAAAGTGAATTAAAAAGTCCAGCATTTCCAAGTTTCGTTATGCATGAAAGCTGCATAATAAAACTTAGAAAGTTGCATTATGAACATTCGAAGCTGTATACATAAACTCAACGTCGAATTCTAGTTGTTTTGGGTGCTTAAAGAGTAAAAATTTTTCTAAAAATAAGAGGGTTGCACCCTACATCACCATATTTGCTGAAGTTCGACGCGCATGTTTAAAGAATTAAATTAGGAAAGGAAAAGTTATATGAAAAATATAAACTGATAAAAAAATGAAAATTTTTTTTATACCTTTAAGAATTACAGAAATTTCAAGTTAGTTAGATGACACTAAAAGATGAGGGGGGAAAAGTGCTGGAAATTTGTCCGTTAACAATTATTCTTATAAGGTGCTTGTAGTAATGCTGCAAAGCTAAAATTTGATACTAAAGGAGTTTAAAATCTGCTTAGTCTTATATCTCTGAAAACAATAAAATACAGTTTATTTTAAGATCCACAAAACGCTCTAACTAATGACAAAAAAGAGATTTCATAACTTTAGCAAAAAAGAGATTTCATAACTTAAAATCTGACTCATAGAAAAAACTTTTGGTTTTGATTATCTTGTAGATTAGATGTATATCTATTAATGAACCAATTTTATTTTGGCTTTATTTTTTTTAAGGAGTTATTATTTCATTTGCATTACTATTTTCATTACTTAATAATTATGTTATAATAGTTAAATTAAACAAAATTGTGTAAACTTTTCATTGGTTGCTTTATTGTAAAAAAATAGTGATTATCGCATCAATAAAATAACAATTGTACATAGAAATATCCAATAAGTATTACCTTGTTAAGTTATGTAACTAAATATAATTATATTTAGTTACAATCTACTTTCACACTAGTAGACAATTGACAAAATTTATTTCAATTAGTAGAGAATTGAAAAAAGTCCGTCCGCTAGACGCCCAAGTGGCGTCTATTTCGGACAAACGGACGTCTTTTTCGGACGTCCATAGACGTCTATATAATTTAGACGTCTATCACAAAAAAACGTTCACGCTCTTACAAACCCATTGTGACAAACGTGTTTTAGCAATAAATAACTAGATAGGGTTAGGTTTTAAGGAATGGAAAGCGCGTGAACATTCATTTTACTTGTATCTTTTATTTTAGACAATAAAAGATACAAGTAAAATGAATTCCATTTATTGGTAGAGAATCTTTTACAATAAGTAATAAAAAAAACTAAATTTTTTCTGGTAAAGATGCTTAAAGTGGCACACAACTGAAAACAAGTTTTTTTTAAAATAATCAAAATTATTTTTTTTTTTTTATAAGAATAGATATATATTAGAAATAAAAAAAAAAACAGCTAAATTTTTTTTTAATTTTATTATCCATAATGACGTTGTAAAACACATGGTTTTAGTAAATCTTCAAAACCTAAAATTTTGAACATAGCTTTCTAATCATATTTCACCCTGCTTGACCGTGGGATTTTTTGTGATTCAAATTATTTCATGAAGTATAGCATTTTTAACAAAATCACCTAATATATATATGAAATATCAATAAATCCAGCAAACATCAATATTTTACTTTCTATAGATTTTCATGCAAATTCTGAGGGTTAAACGAAGCAGGGGCGGATTTAGGGGGGTATCCTGTGTTGCCCAGAATTCACCCATAATATTTTAAGAAATTATAAAAAATTCCGTTTAATAATCTAAAAAATACTAAACTTAAATTTATAGTATACTAATATGTATATATGAGTTCTTTATAAAAAAAAAAACATTGCCTTTATAGAAAAACATACTCGGCTACAGACTTAGCTCTCCTCCGTCATGTTTAAAACGCCGCTATTAAAATCAGGATTCTTTTTTTAAAGTAAACGGTACCGAAAGAACCCTTTTAATCAATCGTTATTGGAATGTATTTATTTTGCTTGCCGTAATAAAGGCCAAAAAAATCCCTATTGTTTCAGGATTCATTTGACCCGAATTTCCGGTAGACAACAAAAAAAGTTGCAGGAACGTTTGATCAAAAGGGTTCTCTCGGTTCCGTTTATATATAAAAATGAATCCCTAATTATTCTAATAACGCCTTAATTATTCGCATAAAGCCTTAAGTATTCGAATAAATTGAAGTCTATCAAAAATTAGCTAATAAGTAGTTTTTATTACAAATTTTTTTTTTTTTTACAATTATGGATTTGTTGCTATCCAATGCCATTAAAGCCAAGCATTTGCCTAATATTACAACTTACATATTAAACTTCGTAATAATCTTAAAGAATTAAATTCAAACTTTCCTGTTATAAACAAAGATCTTTTTTCTTTAAGAAATTCTGAAATGGAAGCTTTTATTCCTATGCAAAAAGAAAATGAAGACTATATTGTTTTAAAATATGAGTTTAAACGCGTTTTTTTTATGTTTTATTTTGTTTATATAACAATAATTCTTGACAAATAATGTTTAGTTAAATATGTTTGTTTTAGTTATATTTAGTATATATATATATATGTTATGACTTAACAGGTCAATGGAGAATGGTAACTGTCTTTACAACTCTGCTGCTTTATTATTAAATTCATCAGATAAAACACATGAAATTCTTCGACTATTAACTTCTGCTGAGTTGTTTGAGAAAGCAACCTTTTATTCGAGACACCCAATAATCTTAAACCAAGTGGAATCTAAAAGTTTTTCTGCTCTCTAGTGTTTTCATGGCATGTGTTTCATTTGAGTCTTCTAATTCTTTTACAGAACTAAATTATACAATTATTGCTGAACTTATAAAAAAAGAAGCCTATAACAATTGCAGAAACAATAAATTTGCTTCTTTTCTTTGTTTAATTGCATTATCTACAGTGTTAAATAAACAAATTCGGTCTATTTATCCTGAATTCGGACTTGAAAAATATAAAAAGTTATTTAATGTATGTATATACCCACATGGTGATCATAAAACAAATAAAGAAATTCTGAGTATTTTATGGTGTAACACTGATTGTCGCTCTATTTCCAAGGATAAAGATATGTGGTCACCAAATCATTTTGTCCCTATTGTGAAAAGAGAAGTTTTATGCTCAAAGAAATTTGTCAAAAGTAATTTAAAAAGAGGATTGTGTTCAGTTTTGCCAAGTGTTTTATCACATTCTTCTGTTAACACTAAGGTTCTTAATTTATCTTGTCAACCTCCTAAAAATCTATTTTCAAAAAGAAATCATTAGTTCAATCTCACATAAAATTTGGCATAAGTAATGAAACTATAGATGTAAATATTGATATTACTTCTAATCCAATCTTACTTAATTGTTCATCCTTGTTCATCGGATCAGTCTTTAAGCCTTCCTTTTTATAATGTTTCTACTTACTATGAGCGTGGTAGACAACTATCTGCTGGCAAAGATGATTCAATGTTATTAGATCTAGTTAATAAAATTCTTATTCCTAACTTGTTTTTCCTATTTCTGGTGTAAAAAAGAAACGATCATTTTTACATAAATGGCTACTTGAATATTCCTGGTTAGCTTACTCACAGATTGAAGATGGAGCATACTGCCTTCCATGTACACTGTTGGGAAGCAGAATTTCAAACAATACCTCAATAATCAACTTCATTCGAAAACCTTTTAAAATATGGGGTAATGCAATTCGTGCTTACATGGATCACAATAATAATTGTCGACTTCATCAAATGTCAATGCATTGTCTTAACATGCTGCAATCTAGATCTAATTCTAAAAAAATCTGATTGAAGTTGACATCGATAATCATAGAAAAAAACTTATTATAAGTAATCGAAATAAATTAATTCCAATTATAAAGACAATTATTTTTCTTGGCTGCAATGATATTGCTTTTCGAGGTCTTCGTGATGACAGTAAGTATCATTCAGAGATCGGAGAAACATGTAAAAACAACATTGGTATAGGTAACTTTGTAGAGCTTTTAAATTTTTGCATTGAAGCAGGTGATAAAGTTCTTAAGCACCATATTCGTTCTGCTCCTAAAATCGCAACCTATATATCTAAAACCTCACAAAACGAACAATCGAAGAAGTTCTAATTAATAAAATTAAAAAGTCAGGTTATATTTCTATCTTGTGTGATGGAGCCTCTGATTGTTCTAATGTTGAACAGCTATCTCTAGTTATAAGATACATTGACCGTGATAATAATATTTGTGAAGATTTTCTACGGTTCATTGAATGTAAATCTGGTACAACTGGTCTTAGTCTTGGGAAAAACATAGTTTCTGCAAATGATGATCTTGGTCTTGATATCCAAAAATGTAGAGGTCAAGGATATAATGGTGCTGGGGCAATGTCTGGTAAATTAAAAGGTATTTCATCAAGAATT